GCTATGAGTTGGTTCTGACTCGATGGCACCTGATGACAACAACAACAACTGCGGCACTGAAGATAATGTACTGGACTGCAAGGTGAATTTGAACTTCAAGATTGGCAGTTCAAATTCACCAGCTGCCCCTCAAAACCCTATATAGGGTTGCTGAGTCAGAACCGACTCCACGACACTTAACAAGAACACTGATCAATTACTCCTGGTGTGGTGGTATGTGATACGCACAGGACTACTAACCACAAAGTCAGCTGTTCAAGCCCACCAACCATTCCTCGGAAACCCTGTTGTTGCTGTTACTATGAGTCAGACCTGACTAGAAGACACTTAACAACAACTGATCAAAATTTTAGGTGAAAAAAAGTAAAAAGTAAAAAATTATTTCAAGGCAACAAATAACTGCCTCTTTTATTTTCATTTAGCCAAAACATAGAAAGGAAAAACACTGGTTCCCCAAACTTTAGCTATTTTGCCACAAAACAGTGACTTCATTTCTTATATTCAAATATTACAGTCCAATTCCAAATTTAAATATTATCTTGCAACCTGGTTTTAATTACAGTATAACACAAAGAGTTTTAATTAGTTTTAAATTTTAATTCAGCTTTTATTCATTTCAATTACCTAGTTGTATGGCCCACAAAACTTTCTAATTATCTCTAAGCCCATTAATGGCAACTTTCAAGCTGCAGTTTGGTTATTTTTCAATGTATTAAATCGCCAGAGAAAAAATAAGCATTACATACCATAAACCATAAATATATTAAAATATACTTAATTGGTTATGATGGGTCAAATAGGCTTGTACTTTAAAAGTTAATGACCACATCTGAAACGGCATTAAAATATTTTTTTCAAATTAGTATTTCCTCTCTTCAGACATAATCAATATGATATTTCTAACTCCTCTTCATCTCCAGTCATTATGACCCAATTTAATGTTCACCATGGCATGTTTAACTACATAGAATTTTCAATATTCTCTCCAGGAAAAAAACACCCTGGACTATTTCCCCTTCTTGAGCCTTCTGATGTAGTAAAATACCCAATAATCTTCATATACGAAGAGGAATGAAAATACTGCTCCATGTATTCTATATAAGAATCTGTTTGCCATCCCCATGTCCACACCAGCAGCACACCTAAAAGTCCACAAGCTGCAGTCTAATACACCAGTTAGACCCTACAAGGAGGCTTCAGTAAGTTTGTGGAATGGAAACAGAAAACACAGAGAGACGTGACAGAAGTAATGTTACATTGTGGGGACTGAAATCATTAAGATGAAACATATTTATGAACTGTTGAATGAAAAAATAGATCTACTCTGCAAACTGTCACTCTATTCACAATAAAAGGGTTCAAAAAAAGTTTGTGGAAAAGTGGAATTAAAAGATAATGGACCCTCAGAAGGCTGGAAATAGAAATACCTTATGATCCAGCAATACTTGGTATTTACCCACAAGAAATACGAGCCAGATACATACACACCAATGTTCATAGCAGCACTATTTACAAAAGCAAAAAGCTGGAGACAGCCTAAGTGCCCATCAACTGAAGACTGGATAAACAAACTGTGGTACATACACACAATGGAATAATATGCTACCTTGAAGAACAAGGAAACTGCAAGCCACCGCATAATATGGATGAACCTTGAGGACATTATGCTGAGTGAAATTAGTCAGTCACAAAAGGAGACTGCATACGATCATTATTGTAAAAGATTAAGAAAAAGAACCCACCCTAAAAGGGGGGGAAAAAAATTCTATATATATTTGCTGATCACCGGGATATATGGGATAAAGTGAGGGGAGGGAGAGAGGGAAATAAAGAGCACAGGGTAGGGAATGGACACAGGATAGTTTGGGTGCTGGGGGGGTGGGGAGGGGGCACAGGAGGGCAATACACATGAAGGTGGAGGGGAATAGAAGAACAAGGCAGATAGGAGTTAAGACATGTTTGCATGGGCTAAGTGGGACAGAGGTAAATGATGATGTATGCACAACCTTGGAACAACAGGGCTCCGGAATACAGGGATTGAGGTATGGTTTGAATGGGTAAAAGAGGGGAAATGCTAAGATGCTTGGCTGTCTTTTGAATCTTGCTTTCCCTTGCCTACCATTGTAAAATAGACACTTGAGGGAGAGACAGAGTAATAGTCAGAAACATCACAACAGAAAACGTGTGAGTCCGTCTTCAGCCTGTAACTGATAAGAATACCTTAGAAGGGGCTACAACTTGCCCAGTGAAGGAGGCTTCCTGTGGAGCCTTTGCATTGCATAAGACCATAGGTAGAATCCTGAACCCCAGCCAGAATTGTCTGAGATGGGAAATTTCCACTTGAAAAGAAAAACAGACCAGCCTGGAGTGGCTAGAAGGCCAAAAGATACTTCGTGAAAGAAAGACCGGCAAGAAAAATCAAAAACAATAACAGAAGTCTGATTGACTACTACAAGAACAAGCAAGCTGTTTGCTCAGAAGCCATCAAGGCAAGTGGTCGGGTCCCCTAAGAGCAAACCCTCTTCCAAGACTAAGAATCAAGGGGAATACACGAGCAGGAATGTGGTCTGGATGGTGACCACGCTGGTCACCAATAAGAGGGAGAGGGGGAAAAACAGCAATGAAGTTGGGAGCTAAGTCTGAACACATTCAACAGACTCCTGTGAACCTGGGTGGAGACCTGGATGCTCAGTAGTATGGCAAGACCCAGGGACTCCTGGGTTCAGAAGCAGTGACATGGCCACAGAGGACTAGAGCAGAAAGTGAAGCATCCAGCTGATATGAAGTGGGGGGAAGATGCAAAATAACACCCATACTTTCAGATAGTACCCACTTGACCTGGCTTCAATGGCTAGATGAGCAGAACTCAACTAGAAGAAGAAAGAAGAGGGGAAAAAACAGAGTAACCTGCTACAATATGATGAACTTTACCTATACTTATGGATGTAGTAGCTCAAAAAACAGGCAACAAATCTTTACAGCAAGGATCACTCCCACCCCCTCGGTACACAGGGTTGACAGGGCCAGGCAACTTAGGCAAAGGTAAGAAGTGACTGGCTTACAAGCTTCTAAGAGGGAGCCTAGTTCCAGATGGGGAATGGGGGGGTGGGGGGGGAGGGTAGAATCTTCACTGAATGGTTTTCAATGTGTTGGGAAGGGACTAATGAAAGGAGATGGGTATAAGACTCTTGTGGTACAATAGTGAATAATTACTATCAGGACTGACTGTGAGGGTCGGAAATGTAAAGATAGATGTTTTGTAACAAAAAGAAGGGCGTGATTGATTTTGCAGCCCAGGAGCAAGGTCCCTGGGACCATCAAGTGAGAAGAGAGGAGTTCGGAACCCTACCCAGAGAAGCAGTGATGCCAGAAATGGAGGCAGAGATGATGACGTGGACAGATGGAGCAGCTGGGGACACTGGACTCAGGGAAGGAGAGGGGCTGTGTGCTGATGACCGGAAGGCAGGTTTGTAGTGTATACCCTTTGGTTGGTTGATGATGCATGGAGGGGATTGTAACCATAGCAATGATTTACGATATACGATATACGATAGGATGAATGTAAAACTAATGTTCTCCCATGTAAACTATCACATAATTCACAATAAAACATTAAAAAAAGAAAATTCTGTCCTTAAAAGGAAAGCCAGTTACTTGCCAGGGCATATAAGAATCAAAATCAGCAGAAAAGTAGTTTAGGAGAAAATAAATGTTTCTCTTACATTAGCTTAGTAAAGAAGGATTTAAAATTTTTTTTAATTTAATTTAAAAAAACACAATACATTCCAAAGAATTTTAAAGCTGGCAGATAACTTAGCAATTATCTATAAACCAATGCCTCTTATATAGACCAATGCCTCTTACATACACCAGTCTCTCATATTAAAGAAAGGCCAGTCTTTCTTTGTGTGGACTTGGGGAAACATGTTTTGTTATTGAGGTACCCCCAAAAGCAAAAAAGTGGGCCAGGACACCTACCTGGCAGTTCTACCTGCTCTGTGAATGTATGTGTTGGCATCCTCTGGACAATCAAACTGGAGAACCCAATTCACAGCCGGGAAATCTGTACAAAGAAAATGCCAGTGAAGAAATCAATGTCAAGATCTACCCTGCTGCACACTTGTTTTATTTTACAACCATGCTCACCAGGGCTTGCAGCCATAACAAACTGATATAACATCTGTGAACGCTATTAAAAATAAAATTAATTGCACATACCGAGAGATAACAGACACGTCTGTCCTTTGGCAAAGTGAACTAAAATGAATGACAGTGTTTGAATGAGAAGATTGCTTCATATCTGATACAGAAGAGACAGAGTGCTTTATATCAGACAGATAATGAAATACTCTGATACTGGATCATCTAAAAGGACCACTTCTGATGGGCTCCTAGTGAACTACAAAACGGGCTTCTAGATTTAAGCGAAGGTTTACTTCTCCTGCTACTTTCACCTCTATTTATATTGATGATCTCTTTCCAGGTCCCTCTCACCATTTCCTAGCAGTTAATCCATACATATTTCCAAGCACTGCAGTTTCCATTCATTTCCAGAGAATCCTGCTCTCATCTCCTTTGATCATTACTGGATTTTACTGAAAGCATTTCAGATCAATTTCTGTCATAGAGAAAAAGGACTGAGCATTTCCAAAAAGACACTGGGACAAAATGATACATATGACATTAAAACTATCACTAAGTCATATAACCCATTCAAGAGGCTTAAATTTTAGTGGGGGAAGTGGGCAAGGAAAGCAGAACTGAGACATTAAGAGTCTTCCTCTCTCTCAACTTGAAGTAACCAGGTATGTCAGAAGCAGCTCATGTTTCAGGACTGCAAAAAGAAAGTAAATTGAAAGCAGAAATTAAACATTAAGGGCACCTCTCTTATCCCAATTGAGTATCCTGACAGAGACCGAAAGTTTTATTTCAGGGAAAGGCTGCAGACACTGAGACACCAAATAAGAGTAGAAGGCAGAAACATCAGCCTTGGTGAAAACAGGTATTACATCAAAGCCTACCGACTGTCAGGGAAGCCCCTGAGCTGACTTCCTTGCTGCTGCTTGCTGTTGTTTTTAAGTACCATCAGGTCAATTCTGACTCAGACAGACCAATGCAACAAAGTTGTTGTTGTTGTTAGGTGCTGTCGAGTTAGTTCCGACCCATAGCGACCCTGTATAGGGTTTCCGAGGAGCAGCTGGTGAGTTTGAACATCAAGCTTGAAGTTCAAATGGCTCTGCAGTCTGGCATATTAACCCACAGCGAAAGTACAACTACCCTATACGGTTCTAGGCTGAAATCTTTATGGAATCAGATTGCCAGGTACTTCTCCAATGGAGTGGCTAGGTGTGTTCAAACCATTAACCTCGCTGTTAGCAACCAAGCATTTTACCACTTGTACCACCAGGGCTCCTTGAATTCCTTGCTAGGCTCCCAGGAAGCCAGCAGTAAGGCATTCATGAGTGCGAAGTATTGTTCTCTGGAGAAACTAAACGTTCAATGAGGAAAGACTAGGACACTGGAGTCTTTCACATAATGATCAACTCTGTCCAGACCATACAATGAAAACCATCAGTCAGGAAGTCTTACTCATGTACAAATTACTTGAAATAAGCTTTTGGGTGTCTCATTCTTATATATAAAATGACATCCAATTAACAAACATAGATAAAAGCTTCAAACATGAAAGACAGGAGAAAGAATCAAAATGGAACTCAGGAGAAACAGAAACATTGTGGAGAGAAGAGAACTTAGAAAACAAGCATAACATCTTCAGAGAGAAAAGCAGTAATGGATCCATCAAGCAAGAGAGCAAGAAGCTGTAGGAAACAACACGATGGAGTTGTTAGAACTTAAAAATAAAACCATTAATAGGAAGGTTTAAATATAACATCAAAGAAATCTCCCAAGAAGAACAAGAAAACAAAGAGATGACTAACAGGAGAGAAACAATAAATAGGAGTATTATAAGAGGTGAAATACTTGTTCTGGAAAGAGAAAATAAGAAAAATCAGTAGGAAGGGAGGGAAGCAGTTCAGTCTTATAAAGAAATTGTATAATGAGGCAATTAGCGCGATTAAAATGCAAAAACAAAGTATAAGAAGGAAACATCCTTAGTATATGACATCCACCAGCAATAATAATGAGTCAAAATAATGTAAATATTTAATTTTATCTAACCAAAATCAAGACATTTGTTGTTGTTAAGTGCTGTCGAGTCGGTTGCAACCGACAGCGACCCTGTATAGGGTTTCCGAGGAGCAGCTGGGTGAGCTTGAACCGCAGACCTTGCAGTTCAAACGGCTTTGCAGTCTGAGTACCAGAAGAGAGCTGGTAGTTAAAGAGTTGGTGGTTAGAGAGGTAAATCTTCAATGATCAGAAAAAGAACCCACTAGGTTATTTCTAAACTTGATAAATTTAGAAATGGCAATATAAAAATATCAATTTGAAATATGAAGCTAAATAACAAAAAATAAATAAATAATAGTAGATGCTTCTGGGAAATGATGACAAGTAGAGCAAGGTCTGCTATGGTTCATTAAAACTTTGACTTTTTAAATCATGTGGCGCTGTACGATCAGCACTGGACTGTGAACCACAAGGTCGGCAGTTCAAACTCACCAGCTGCTCTTCAGAAACCCTATGTACAGAGTCGCTATGAGTCAGAACTGACTCTACGGCACTTAACAATAAATAACAGCAATATATTGTTTATTAAAAATAACTAGAAAAATTAAATTAAATTTTAAAAAATACTAGTGGGTCCTAAAGAAATTCTTGAACATATACATAAGAGAGAGCTTCAAAAAATTCATTGCATAATTTTTAGAATACAAAATAACTAAAAACAGCTTAAATGTCCATTATAATTGAAATAGATAAATAACTATACAAATAAATTCATACTATGGGAAAGTCTGGAGTCCTGGAGTGGCACTGTGGGTTAATGCACTGGACTCCAAGGTCAGTTTGAACAGCAAGGTCGGCAGTTCAAGCTCACCAGCTGCTTCTCAGAAACCCTATACAGGGTCGCTCTAGGTAGGAACGGACTCAACAGCACTTAACAACAACAACATGGGAAAGTCTACATAAATAAATTGGATCTTTATGCATCAACATGAAAAGAATTCAAAAGCAAGTCACAGACTACTCCATGTAATGGAATTGGTTATGTAAACATTTAAAACATGCAAAGTAATACTACATACCGCAATTAGATTCATTCACTTCAAGTAAACGTTTTCATTAAATCAACTAGTGAACTACCAATAACCCTTTGGTCAACTATGGGGTGCTTTTATTGGGGGGGGGGGAGGCTAGTTTAAAAAGAATAGGAAGTATCTGAGACTAGCCTTCAACAGAACTTCCAATGTTTTCTTAGAATTTTTATGCTATAGGTAAAGCCTATGAATCCCTTCCCAGAATAATGTTTCTAAATATATAATACGATCAAAGAAAAATATAATCAAATATAAATGTCAACCTTTCAAATAAGTGTCCCATACTCGACGGCACATAACAACAACAACAAATAGCAATATATGTTGTTGTGAAGTGCCAGCGAGCTGGTTTGGACTAACAGGAACCCCGTATAGGGTTTCCAAGGCTTTAAATCTTTATAGGAACAGAAGGCCTCATCTTTCTCCTGACGAGTGGCTTGTGTGCTCGAACTGGCAATTGTGGTTCAAAGTCCAATGCTTATTCTATGAAGCCACTGCCCTCCCATAGTCATGTCATATACTTGTTTATTAATACATTAAATAGTATGATCTAGTTGTAAGTTTAAAAACCATCCTAATAGCAAAATACTAATGAGTGTAATATTTCATGATAGAATTTTTGACAGCAAGTGGAAACAAAGTAAAAGGTATTACCAATACGACTGTGGTTTGTTATTTACATTCATAATTGAAGGAATGGCTAAATTTCAATGGAGGCTGGATGAATCCCTGAAGCTACTGTCCTAAAATAATCGTTAAACCTTAAATCAGAAATATTCCCTGGAGGTTCTTCAAGCCAAACAATAGTTTAGCATAATGAATAAAAAAGGCCTGCGTTGAGCATTATGTTTGAGAACTATTTGTACAGGATCAATGAGAGAATGGTGCCACGGTAGGATTAGCACTGTACAGCGGCTCAAGCCCACCAGCCACTCCTCAGGAGCAAGGTAAGCCTTTCTGTTGCGGGAAAGATTGACACACCCTTGGAAGCCCACTACAGGGTTGCTGTAAGTCCGAATCAACTGATAGCACTTAACAACACAGGGGATCACATTAATAACAGTAGCTCAAATGATTAGACAGGAACCCTAAGGAGCAATGAGTCTATGTTAATGGGAGAGGAACAACTCAAAAGGAGGGTAAGAATGGCTGCACAACTTGAAGAATGTCATCAATGTCACTATGCTGTACGTGTAGGAACTGTTGAGCTGTGTAGATATTGCTGCATATGTTCTCAAAAATAAAACCAATAATAAAAAAAAGGAAAGCTAAATTTCAGTTAAGGTTAGTGAAAATAGGATTTTTTTCCTGTCCAAATTTATAGACCCTCTGACTTCATGAGTGATTTGTTCTAGAGGTGAGAGCCCTCAATTGAAAGGAGACACACCAACTATCTGACAGTGAAATGAGACAGGCCATAAAGATGAACTCAACTACACTGATTAATATTGGATTTCTTCAATTTAAAAAAACCCAATCAATACATGATTATTATTATTTGTTCATTCTGAATGGCTGGTGCAAACCTTTTAAAATTATTTAATGATTTAAAATAAACAGCTCTGACCCTTCAAAGGGATAAGTGTGAGTTCAAAATTATTTGTATTTAAATTCAAAAAATCAGTATGATTATTAGAGACAGGCGAAAGCACATATAACATGTTTCAAAATTATTCATTCAAACAGGCGGCCTGAAAGGGTAACAGATTATAAGGCTGAGAAAATAGTCTTGAAAGCGTTTTTAAAATATTTATATCTAGTTATTATCTTCAATCACAAGTCTATCTACAATGACTGAAAATACTGAAGCATTAAGCAGTGAACTAACAGAATGTCTGAGATATGCTTTAAAATTCTCCAAGAGAGATAGAAGAATGGAGATCATGAAAAAGGTAATTGTAGAAACCGAATGATTTGAATATTAGGAATCATTAGACTTGATTCTCTTTTTATATATGTTTAAAATTTCCCATGATAGTTTTAAACAACACACACAGTAAAATAAAGTGATTGAAAATTCAAATTAGTATTCTTTGCTTTTTTCACTAGTTTTCACCTCTACAAAGCTATTAGTTGTAGCATATTATCTTTTAGCTTTTTGCAAGCTTAAATCGATTAAATATAGTGATTTTAAAATAAGCATAGGAAGGAGTATAAGACTTAAAGAGAACAGGGCAAATACTGTTAACTGATGGTACATGGAAGAGATTATAATCACTGAAATGAAACAAAATTTGTTTTGTAAGTCTTCACTCAAGTGAAAATAAAAATGAGAATGGCTTGGAAATTATAGGTTTCACTGTTTCTTACAAAATATGTCTAAATATCAACCCAAAAGTTTTTAATTTTCAGAGAAATGGAATCAAACTTATTTAATTGTGGGAAACAAAATTTTTAAAAACTACATGGTTAAACCTTCAATTCTCCTTTGATGAGGCTGTAGGTGCCTCAGGATTCTACAGTGCAATTATTATCATGAAACAATAAACAGTAACTACACAGAAGATGAAGATATTATGGAAATTTTCACGAAACCCAAGGTACATACTTAATGTTGATCACCTGTTAATAATTTACGATTTTCTTTTCATGCAAAAATTAGAGGAAAGAAGAGAAAACCCAAGTGTTTGAATTCATAAAAGACACCTATTTTATTTACAAGCAAATTGTTTCCCACAATCATAGCATATACCCTCAAAGAACGCTTCTTACCCAGTCCCCTGGCTGCAATATCAGTAGCAAAGAGTATTGCAGCTCTCTTGCGAACAAATTCATTATAAACTTCCATTCTTCTCATTTGCTGCTGCCGACCATGGAGGGCAAGGATAGAAATACCAGGACGTAGCCGGCAGAACACTCTGAACAGATACTGAACCTGGGTATTTAGAAAAGAACAAAAAAATGAGTGTAGCAATTTCTATATGGTAGGACTAAAGTAAGCATAAACATGAACAGCAAAACAAATTAAGAAGCACAAGTACATGAAGGGGCTTTAAAAAGTTCACGAAAAAATTCCATTAACTTATAATTCCATTTTTACACAAACTTTTGGAAGCCACCTCGTATTAAACAGAGTTCATGAAAACTTTCTGCAATCTGCATCCCTTGAATGAAGACAGACCTTGAAATCTTGCTCTTTAACAAACTAGCTGAGGTTGAAGAGGTATTAAGAATAAGGTCATGAAGTCATCTCTAAATAGGCTCTAGTAAGGAATTTTAAATTTATTGTAATTTCAATGAAAAGTCATTGAGGACTTTTACACAAAGCAGTGAAATATTTGTTTCCACTTTTCAAGGGCCATTCTGACTATAATGTGGAAGAACTATATGCAAGAAAAGTGAGGAAATGAGAGGACCAGTTAGGAAGTGCAGAGAAAGAGAAATGCAGCTAAGACTGCACTATAGCATTGAAGGTATTACAAAGCAGCAAAACTAATGAGATTTATTGGTAGATCAGATATTAACTGAAGAAAAGAGGAGAATTGAGAATTTTATCATTTATTGAGTTCAGAAAGAGTTGGAACAGATCTAGGAATAGCAAATCCTAGCATCTTAAATTTGAGATGCTTTGTAGACCCTCAGTTGGGAATATACAGTAGTCAAGCAGATATGCAAGTCTGAAGTTCTGGGTGTGCAATAAGTCAGTATACTGTCCAGTATACTAATGAAGTTTAAAGTCCTGGAACTGAAGAGGATGCCTAGAGTTACTAGAGATGGGAAAAAAGCAAAGTACACAGGTCTGAGATACTCCAAATTCTAACAGTGAAGAACCTAACAAAGGAGGTTAATACTGAGCAACCAAAAAGCAAGGATTACAAACAGGCTAAGGGAGCGTGCAGTCACAGAAGTCTAAAGAAGTGTTGCAAGGTGAGAATAATCAACAGTATCCAGAGATTCTGAGGCCAAATAATATGAGATGGTAATCTATCGCTGATTCTGGCAAGGTGTTATCTCTTGATAAGGGTCAATTAAGTTTGGGGCAAAGGAGAGATAGAAGATGAGAAAGTGCATGGCTGATACAGATGACTTCAGAACTAGAGTTTATCTACTAGGAAGAGCAGAAAAAAGGTGACAGTGATGGTAAAGGAGAATTTGTTTTTCATTCTTAATATAAGCAATGCTAAGGAGCTCTGGTAGAGTAGTCGTTATGAATTGGGCTGCGAACCTTAAGGTCAGCGGTTCGAAACTACCAGCCGCTCCGCGGGAGAAAGATGAGGCTTTCTACTCCCGTAAGGATTTACACCCTCGGAAACCCTGTACAGGGTCGCTATGGGTCGGAACCGACTCGACGGCACTTAACAACAACAACAACAACAACAAAGAATGATACAGAGAAAAGGAAATGCAGATGAAAAGGGGAATGGTTGTATTAGCAAAGGCCTTATATAAATGAGCAGATGAGATCTGGAGCACACAAAGGGTTTGTCATAGATAAAAGCAAGGACTTAATACACTGTGGTGGTGGTTATGTGCCGTGGAGTCAGAACTGACTCATAGTGACCCTGTACAGGGTTTCCTAGGCTGTAAGTCTTTACGCGAGCAGAAGCAAGAGGAAAAGCAAGATTATTAGATCACCAAGTAGATACTGTAAACGGGAAACTCAACATTGCCTAGGATCCAGATACCAAAAACTGACCTTGGAAGCCCAGTGTAAGTGCACAGCTGCTAAATGAAAGACTGGTGGTTCAGACAGCCACTCTGAGGAAGCAGTCTGCTTCTGTAAAGATTTACAGTCTTGGAAACCCTATGGGGCAAATCTGCTCTGTCCTACTGGGCTGCTAGGAATTGAAATGAGACTCTACAGCAAGAAGGGTTTGGTTTGGTTTCTTTGACTGATACAAAAAACTCCATTTGTATCAATGTTACATTGATATGAAATGTAACATTTTGAAAATCTAAACTAGGTCATAAAAAAAATCTGAACTCATTTTTTACATGGTAAAATGATACAGAAAAACTCCAAACTCTGACAATAAAAATAGAGCACAAACTAGAAATAAACTATAAATTTATCATGCTAGCTATTTCAGAAGTTGTAAATCTAGAATCAATCTACTATACGCTAACATCTATGTCATCAGGATTCTGAAATATAGTTGAGGAAAACTTTCATATAAAAATCAAAATAAAATCCTTTTTCCTTGAAGAAAGAGACCAAGTTTTCTTACAAATCTCAGAATCTCTATTTTCTAGCACAATGATGGTGTTCAAGAAATATTTATTAACTAAATAAAAACATGAGTCACCTGCTAACCTCAAGGTCAGCAGTTCAAAACTACTGTTTCACAGGAGAAAGATGAGGCCTTCAGCTCCCATATTTACATTCTCGGAAACCCTATACAGGGCCACTATGAGTCGGAACCGACACCACAACACATAACCACCACCACTACATAAGCAAAAGAGTACAGAAGAATAAGAGGAAACAGTTTATTCTAAAAAAGGAATTAAGAGTATCAGAAAAGGGTTCTCCATCAAACAACTCAAAGGTACACCCCTGCACACCT